ATTTCTGAACACTACATTCTTAATCTAGTCTCTTAGGAGTTTTCAAGAATTAACACAGTGTATAATAATAGTATTTCAACCACATATCCATTGCCATCGACGCGTTTCGCTCAATCCAGAGCTCTTCAGACCGGCTTACTGTTATGTAATCAAGTACAACACATAACACCAATCGCTTCGCAGGCTTAAAGTGTTATATACCATAAAGAACCAAAATTTGTATTTTTATTGTTGTAAGTATTTTACCAACAATGGTTTGTTGTCAATATTTAAATTCTAAAAGTCTCAACAATTGAATAATTGTTATCTTTCGGTTTTCAATTCTAAGTATCATAGTGACTTGTTCTTTTGGTGAAGAGAGTGTTAACAAAATTATTCGTCGTTGGTTTTTAACTGTAACAGTTTTAAAAACCTGGCTTGTAAAACAATAATAACGTGATTTTTTTCCTTTTAGTTATAAAAACCGCTACATGATTTTTCATATTTCACAATGTAACTTGCTACCATTGTTTCAGCTTTGAGAGTCTAAAAAAAACTTGATTTGTTATTTCTTTTGTCGGTCTTATTAGCATCATTTATTTTTGTTTGTTTTTATTTTAAGGCTCTTAAACAGTGGCAAAAGATGGGCCTCCTGCATAAAAAGAAATTGTGCCCCTACATTTATTTACTTATAATTGTAGTTACGATTCGCCCTCCCCCCGTAATTGCGAGAGCTGCGGGGGCATACTGACGCCACTGCTCTTAACAGTGTTCTTTGTTACAATTCTTTCTCTCTAAAATATTTTTTTTTATAATTTTTATTTTGAATAATTGTTTTTAATAGATGCCAATACAAATATACAAAAATCAGCCTCTTGTAGAAACACATTTTCTTCAAGTAAGATAAATTACACTGAAATATATTGAGGACTAACAAATCACCCACAAAACCTTCCAAATCACGTACTTCTTGAAAAACAGAAGCACCGTCTTTGTCCTTTAGTTTGTGCGCGGTCATACAGTTTTTACATATCTTCTTATATATGTGTTTCAGCAGGTCTCCAATCGATTTGTGTACATGTAACTTCTCATTTATTACGCTAATCGAATTATAGATACATACCTTTATCCGCCATGTATACATATTTTGTTCCCTATGTTTCATATACATGAGTGAAATTTGGAATTTGTATAAAATTATATTGTCTTTCTAATAATCAAAACACTACCCAATACTGCTGATAAAATATATGATAATTAAACAAATTTTTAAACTATGATGAAGCGTGTCAGAATCTAAATAAGTTCCTTTAGAAAATTGTTACTTTCAAGTGTTGATTCATTTTAAGAAGGTTAGTTTTTCAAATTATCTATTTCTTTAGAAAGTAACTTCTGTAAGTATCGATTCTCTTACGTATTTTTTAAAAAAAATTGATTTTCTTACAAGGTTTGTGTTTTAAAGTACATATCCCTTTATAATTTAAAATTTTAAAGTACAATGTTTTTTCAAAATACTATTTTTTTAAGTAGTGTTTTCTTTAGAAGCTTAGTCCATTAAAATACCGATTTCTCTAGAATTTTAAATCTTTAAATGTCAATTATTTATATATCGACACATTTTAATAGGCCAAGATTTTAATGTTGTATTTTCAGCTGCGGCATAGCTACTTATAGAATAGCTCTGAGTTGTTTTTTTTTTCAAGTACGAACTTTTAGCTCATAGCTCCGTCATCTCTCTATTTGAGATTTAATTATAGTTTTGGACTCAGGACATCAAACCCTTTCGATTGATGTATTTGACCACGCCCAAAGTCTCATAAATTAATTTATTCTAATCGTGCCTAAAAGAATTTCAAGTGCCTCGGCTATTGAGGATTCCCTCTTGTTAAGTAATAGTTTATTGAAGGAAAAATGTTTATAGAAGGTTGGAAATGCCGATAACGTGACAATGTTATTTCTCTAAATCAAAACTAGTTTTTATAAAGCATCCATCATTCTTGAAGTATAGTTTTTATTAAAACATGGATATATTTATGTTTTTTTTTTTAACGAAACTACCCAATAGGGACTATAGAGTATCTGTGTTCTGTATATCACAAGGAATCAAACATCAAATCTTAGAATTATAAGTCCGTAAATGTACCACTGACCTACTGGGATACTTTTAGTATGAGTTAACTCAATTACTTTGTAAGAAGTTGTAAGTCTAACAGACCGGCTGAAATTAGTGCTACAAAGAAACTTGAGTTTACATTCAATAATCAAGCCATGAAAACAAAGGGCACACTTATGAGCCAAACAAAACTCTTTAAATTTCTTTGGTTTCTTACCAGTTAAAATAATGTTTATATGTTTGTCTTAAAGGACAAAGCTACACAATGAGCTATTTGTCCTGTGGCCACCGTGAGTATTGAAACATAATGTTTAGCGTTATAAACCCTCAGATTTACCGCTGAACCAGAAGAACATGTTTACTAAAAGATCGTAACAAATATGTTTTAAAAAATGGGGTATTATTCTAATTACGATGATGTTCATAGTGAAAGGATGATATTATACTCAAATTACAACAAAGTAAATGGAATTTAAAAGATGAAAACTTTTATTAATAATTTTCTTTCAGATATTCCAATCATATCGCGCCCCCCAGTGGCACAGCGGCATGTCTGCGGACTTACAACGCTAGAAACCCTGTTTCTATACCCGTGGTGAGTAGAGCACAGATTGTCCATTGTGTAGCTTTGTGCTTAATTACAAACAAACAAGCCAATCATATCGCGCCCCCAGTGGCACAGTGGCATGTCTGCGGACTTACAACGCTAGAAACCCTGTT